ATTGAAAAGGGCACCAAAGATGAACTTAGCTAACCATTAGTAGACATTAGTTCATTAGTAGCAGGATCTTATGCTAAAAGGAGCAATATTGAAATAAAGGCTCCCTGAGCGCCTATCATAACCGCTAGCCACACTATCCTTTGAATAAACTATATTTCTTGTTTCGAAGATCTTTATCTATTACAAAAATTGTTCTATATTTTATATCTGTACAATTATTAACAACTAACTTCTTTGACAATGGGAATAGGGAGTCTAACGTCATATCTAGGATTACCCCAGAAGTAATGCTTACAGTTTTCTTGATCTGGAAGAAGAGTGATGTTAATCACAGATATAAATTAGATGAGACATATATGTAACTTGAAGAGTGTAGTTGTCAGTCAAGCTATTAAAATGAAAAGGTGAAGTTACCTGGAAACAAACTATACACAATACACATCTTGATTCATTAAAGTACAACTGAGGCATAGACTGGTTTAACAGTATGAAATAACAGGCATGACGTGGTAACTCCAAAATATGTAGAAATTATAGAAAAATAAACATTTCTTCATTAAATTTTAAGCAAGGATGCAGAAAGACAGAAATATTTAGTTCTTATATTTCTATATACATGTTACAAAATGGAACTTGAAAATGATGGAATTGCAAGAATTGTAACAAGAATCCTTATAAATTGTTACAAAATTTGAAAAAAGTATGATTTTGATTCGGCCATTCTTCTATCGTGAGAAAAAAGTAATCAGTAATCATGTGGAGGTGTTTATTTGACAGGAGTTCACAGGAGTTCACTTAAAAGAGGTGTTCACTTGTGTACATATTATCCTGTTCATTCTGGTGGTAAACAACCCCAAACACACACGTCCTTCATTAGCTCCTGTATCCTCTTTACTAAATACCACATTAATTCTTTGTTCAGTCTCAATATGGCTTTTCACTGAATGTGTTTGTGGTATACAAAAGTGAAGAGAAATGAATACCGTCGTAGTGATTTTTAGGTTAATTTGTAACATAATTCTGAATTGAATCGGTGAACCAGGAGCTGTGGGCCGCTTCTGTCACCTTACAATTGTCTAAGAACATGAGAATATATGACCTTTATAAACTCCCTCGTGCTCCAAGAACAAATTATCAGGATACTCAACCTTTCTATACAGAATACAGCACTACAGTAAAACATGTGTATATTGAACATTTTTTGCTGAGAAAAATATGCAGTATTGGTAGGTGTTCACTACAGAGAGGGTAATTTATACAGAAGTCAGTAGAGTATGTGTGGAGGAAGGGTGTCCGTAGGTAATTGGATCAATTTGAAAGAATAATTTCTAATTTAAAGAATTAAGATTGAAGTTGGAAGCTTGATAAGGGTAAATGAGAGCGTTGGCACACTTTCTTTATATAATAGAAATTATAGATCTCGTTATTGGAAATTAGAGGGAGTGAAAAACATGGTGACCTTTCAAGCATTAAAGCACCTAAAACTGTAAAAATTTTGTTTTTTCCATTTCTTTAAAGTAAGAGTAAATAAATTTAAACTTGTAGTTAACAGAATTTTTAATGAAAAGGAGTGAAGTGCATAGCGTATTGCATAGAAAGTTACAACCGGGCACTTCTTTTGAATATTAGAGGAAAAGGTTCGAAATAAATATAAACAAAGTTGAGTGAAAACTACTTAAAACCTCTTGAACAATCAAATTAACATACTTGTGTTTTAACTGAACAATAATAAAAATCACCAACTAAATAATATGTATTTTGTTTTGAACTTTTCGAAAATGTTAGCTGTTAAAGAGCAATATGACTAAAAATACTTTAACCACCTGCTCAAAATCTGTTCTAACCATTTATTAAGGTGCAGTTTAATATGGATTTTAAAACGCATAAAGCCATAATTGCTTTGGAGAAGTAATTTGAATGGTTGGTCACTAGTTCACCTGTCTTTGTGCAATGTGCATCTATTAAGAAAATAATAGCTATTGATGTTTTTGACCCAATAAAGAAACCAGTTTGAGTTTATTCTAATTTCTTAAAATTCAGACCAAATATGGTCAATAAATTCAGACCAAATATGGTCAATAAATGGTAATTTTCAAAGGGGTATCTAGTAGGTATACCCACTTGGTTCAAAGCTGGTTTAAAATGTAGGATATGGCAATTTTTAATAAATCTGAAAACAGGAGGGGGAGGCATACCCTGTATTTCCACTAGTTGACCACATAACCCTCTAATTAATACAAATGATTTCACAGCTCTGATATAATGTTAAACATTAGTTAATGACCTTTTGTAAAAGTTGGAATGTGAAATGAAGGTTAGTCTGTTCATCAACAGAAAAAACAATGATGGTTTTCTGATCTTTATATGGGATATATATGCAAGATCGAATTTGAAGAGTCTAGGCAAAGTCAATCTCTTATGAAGGGTATTTGACTCCTTGGCCTTGGCCATTGATTATTCCAAGGTAACAAAGCTTTATTATAATGTACAAGTAAGCAAAATCAATGTATACTTGACTCAAAAAATCATTAGACACCACTGTCAGACGGTCATTCACCCCGAGGACCAACTGAAAAGGGCAATGCTCATCTCCGATTTTCCCTCTAATTTCTTGAAAGCCCCAAATTACCCTACATTTAAATTCTTAATATGTGTATGATTATTTTCAGGTTTAATTTCCCGATAATCTTGTTCAATTCTAGACCCTTTCCAAGACAGGATTCTACATCTTTAAAAGAGAACTACACCCCAAAAATGCAATCTGATTTTCGACGCCGTTTCGGTGCCAAATTTCAGTGCAGTTTCGGCACCAAATGGACTGACTAGTCCGGTAACAAAATTTGGTGTCGAAAGGTTTCGGTGCCGGAACGGTGCAGGAACAGCGCCAAATTTTTTCGATGCCGAAACGGCGCCGAATTATATTGGCTGTGTATGTGTACAGTGAAACCTGTCTCATCTGAACACCACTGAAACTCTCCAAAAGTGTTCACATTTAGTTAATGAAAACACAGAATGAAATCCTGCTAAAGGCTGATGTGAAAAAGTCAGTCCACCCCAGTGGGGATCGAAACCAAGACCCCTGGCTTTCCAGGCAAGTGCTCTACCACTGAGCTACAGGACTGACTGGATTTTCACATCTAAATATGTCAGTCAATGATTGGAAATAACAAATTTGGGACCCAGAAAAGTGTTCACATCAAGGGTGTTTGGATTAGCGAGGTGTTCGGATCTACAGGTTTAACTACACTTGTCTTGGGACATAACATTGGGGGACTTTATTTAATGCAAATTGGCTTGTTTTTCCTCAAATGGGTGCAAAATTCTTATTTTCACAATTCAAACCAAAATTGGTCAAAATATGCTCATTTTTCATAATTTTTCCTATTTTCAAGTGGGTGTGAATTGATTTTCAGGTGGGTCCGAGTCTAATTTCAAAATCTCAGGTGGGTGCTGCGCCTACTTGCTTTAATGCTGGGGAGATACTGATATATATTGTGGCGATACAAGGAGAGATTCAAACCTATAGCTATGCTTCCTGGTAATATCAATATTGAATTTTCCCAGTTAATACGCTTTATAGCTAAACAAATGTTGATTATTTAGAAATATGAATCGCATTGCTTTGGCTATAAAAGGAACTGTGCTGTCTTACGAACTAATCAATACAATATAGCCATCTAATTGCATTAGGCCACTAGCATATAATAGACGCATTGTCCGCATATCTAGCACGCTTCTATTATGAAGACCTTTCTTTTAAGAGTTAAATCATTAAAAAAGATGAAGATTTATAACCTTAACATTTTGGAATATTGAACCGTTGTCAATAGGTGGACTTATGGGTGGGAAGTGGGATGGATATTACAATGCTTCTGGAATATTGTTTATTATACAAAGGCATTGAGGACAGAAGCTTGTGTCTTTACAATAGATGCCACCTTAACCCGGACTTTAAAATGATATGATGTTTATCACTACATCTCTTAAATTTGAATGCAGTGTCTAATATTCTAGCATTTTCTTTATCATGTTGACCCTATCCTATTCACTGTATTATTCTATATTTCCCTCCAGTTTGTATCTTAAAACATAGCCCCCCACCCCCTTCAAAACTATTGAATGGTATTTTATTTACAGGCATCTGCATCAGTCATTGAAAGCTGATAAAATACCAATACAGTTTTCTTATTTGTTTCTGACTCAAGGGAGAGCATTCCTGTGGTTGCAACCTTAAGAGATGGTCCTCCAACAAGGGACAAATCTCTACTTTTCACACAGTGCAGTTAGAAGATAATTTCTTGTCATGAATGCTCATCATTGTCTTAATCCAGCAAGAGCTTCCTCAAGAAGTGTGCATTGCTAATCAACTTGCCTTAACTGGCTTTTCTGAGACAACAATGGATCAAATTATCTCAATATCTATTGATTCCAATAAAAAAACGAGGACAATTGATTAGGAATAAGTAGTACTATCTACTTCAAAGATTCTTGTGCAGGTTTTCCAGACCCATAGCGCTATAGCCAGGGGCTTTCGAGCGAACCCCACTTGGCCAAAATTCATTCACAATCATGCAATTTCTACTATTTTGGGCACTTTTCAAGAGATATGAGTTGTCAAATGTGAACCCCCTGGGTTTCAGTGCATTAGAGTATGTTAGGCTATGGAAAAATCTGAAATTTTTGGGGTTGTATTCTACGATATCGATATAAAAACGAACATAAGAAATGATTCTCCTCGTCATGTAAAAGTTTTCAATTACATAGACCACTTTATATTATATCAATATATGTATTCTTTGCTCAATCTCAGATTTACATTCCCAATCGCCAGAATTGACAATTTATCCAATCGCCAAAATTGACAATTTATCCAAACGCCAGAATTGACAATTTATGCCAAACACTAACTGCTGAACACCATCTTCAAAAAAAACTGGACACTAACAATAGGTTTCCACTCGTGTTGGTGACATAAAAATGTCATAAAAATATAAACTTACTTTTTCTTTTTGGCTGACTTGACAGCTTTTGGTTTTTCAGTCTTTGGCTTGATTTCCGTAATTGGTGTTTCACCTTCAATAGGTGGCACTTCTTCTGCACCATCTACTATCGCTGGCGGAGTTGTCGCAACCTTCTTCTTACGTGATCTCTTTGGCGTCTTCTCTTTGCCAGGTTCCCCTTCTTTGGTCGGATCTTTAGGTTTACGGTTGTATTTACGTTTAGTTTTAGGTTTTTCCGGTTTGATACCATCGAGTTCCAGACCTGGAGCGAGAGGATTAAGGGTGTTTATATCTGGCACGACTGGTGGCGTGACCACACGAGGAACCTCTAGGCCAGCTGCCTGTGCTTTAGCCATGGCATCAGCACAGATCTGAGCTGCCTTGTCCTGAGCTAGTTTTGCCTTAGCAAACCGATCATCAACTTCGGGGGTGTTACGTCCACTGGATGAATCTAGAGGGTTTATCCCTAGATCTCCCATACCTAACTCACCGGAGGGAACTGTAGGCTCCATATCCGCAAGAAAATCCATATTTGGTGGCTTGAATTCAATTGGTGGTTCTGGCAGTGTTGATGTCACTAGTGGTGTAGTATCTGTGACATCACTAGAGACAGATGGTATTGAGAAGGTTGCTGGGGGTAACAGTGGCTGAGGTAACGGCCCAGATGTTTGAGAGGTAGTAGTTGTGGGCACTTCTACAGAGGTCTTCTGGAAACATTATGAAAAACACATAAAATAGTTTTCATGAAATCTTTACATTAATTCAAGTTCTTATCTATTCTCTTTACGTATATGGTTCATTTTTTGAAGTTTAAATAAGTATTTTTTCTATGGACTTGGAAAACTCTGAATACTTACAGTATTTCATTCAAAGAATAAACTGACAATAGAATCACTAAAACTTGATGGGAACTGTAGAATTTTCTCAATACTCACTGGTGGTGTTGCTGGCATCTGAGGAGTGAGGGCAGTAGATGTGGGGCCATTTTGAACAACAGGTGGCACCACTGGACCATTCCCTATGATCCCCGCTTGAGGAGGCTGGTTTTGTGAGACAGGCGCTTGCTGCATGATGGCAGGAGTTCCACTAACTGGGGGCATATGTGGAGGTAATGGAGTCATCTGTGGCCGTTGTTGAGGTTGAACTTGGGCCATTTGTTGTGAGAATTGTTGAGGTTGGTTCGGATGACCCTGTCCCCTCTGTTGCATCATCATCATTTGTTGCTGTTGCGCTTTAAGAGATCGCAATCGCTCCTGTGCGTCTAGCATATTTTGCTGTGACTGTGGAGTCTGTGGCATGTTACAAAGCTGTTGTATCCTAGAAGTCATTTGGTTAATTTCTAAGTTAATATTTTGGATATTCATATTTAGTTGGTTTGGACTGAGTGGTCCCGTGTTTCTAATCATTTGTACATTGGTATTTACATTCATGGTTTGAGGCTGGCCTGGCTGGTTTGGTGGTTGGCCCATACCAGGTTGGCCAATATTATTAAATGTCTGTTTTTGATTTGCCATCATGTAGGCTTGTTGCTGCTGCATGCTTCCATTACTAGGGTTGGGCATGGCAGGATGGGGTGGTGGGGCAGCCCCTGAGGTAGCCCCACTAGGGGCACCAGGGGCAGGGGTAGGACCCACAAGCTGCTCAAGTTGTTGTAAACTATTCTGAGGGGTGTAAGGTCCCTGAGTAGACATAGTGGGGGTGGTAGGGGGATGAGAGAGTCTATCTGGCGTAACAGAAGGGGGTGGTGGGGTAGGAGTAGGCACTCCCATACTGCGTGGAGAGGGGGTAGGTACACCCCTAGGAGACATTGGAATATTCATGCCTCTAGGTGAGAGAATTGGTTGCTGGGGGCCAACAGGATATTGTGGCCGATACTGCGGCGGTTGAGTGGGGCTCTGATGGGGAAAATGAGACAATGGGGGAGCATCCCCTGTCCCCGTTTGGGGCCTCATTTGCTGCTGATTCATGTTAAAATGTTGCAGTCTACTGGCAGCCATGTTATTCTGTAACCTCCCTCCTTGTTGTTGCTGCTGGTATGCTGAAGTAGGCAGTCCTTGCCCAGGACGCATCTGGTTGTACGCCATATTACCTTGTTGAGAAGAAATTACATTCCCATGCTGCATCATGGCATAGTTCTGAGACACTGGTTGCCTCATGGGACCTTGCTCTCCTCGCATAAATTGCTGATTCTGATAATGCTGCATTCTTTGCTGCTGCATCATCTGCAACTGCTGCGGGGTCATTTGCTGAGAGGGCATCTGCTGCATCTGACCTCTCTGCATCGCTGCATAATCTGGATGGGGATATCCAGGCACCTGGCCATTGTTGTAACCCTGTTGTTGTTGCTGCTGTTGCTGTTGTTGCCGCTGCATGTACATTTGCTGCTGATGCTGAGGCATCCCTGGATTCCAGCCTATACCTTGTTGCTGCTGCTGCTGCTGTTGCTGCAACATTTGTTGCTGCTGCTGGGTGAATCTAGGGTTCTGCTGTTGCTGCATATTATATGCTCCCGGGCTATGCATTGGTGCACCAGTTGGTGGAGGACTCCCGAACTGAGGCTGATTTTGTTGAGAATTAGGGGATAACATTTGTTGTTGTGGCATGGTACTGGCCTGATTTATGTGGTGAAGTTTAGGGGATCCAAACTGGTCAAAATTTGGGTCTAGATGATGGAGTTTTTGAGTTTGCTGGGGAGGGGTGGTCTGCGATGTCATGCTACCAACGGGGGATATCTGAGCAATAGAACTCTGCTGCTGAGGCTGTTGCCCTCCATCCATCATCCCTGGCTGCATCCCTGTTGCCATGGTAACTGTTGGTTGAGCCATGATGCCACCGTTCCCCATTGACATTCCCATTGAGCCATTAGGGAGCGTATCGGGCCCTGTTAGCTCTTCTAAGAATCCAGTTCCATCCGCGTCGTCAAAAAGACTACCTAACATGGAAGAGTCATCCATGGCGGCTTTCAATTCTTTCACGTCAACTTTTTAACTAGCTATGCTTTGCTTCCATAGCAACCATGTCTCATAGTGATGATATTGTCATGGCAATTCTACGATTTCACCATTCTGAAAACAAAAAGGAAATCTTAAATCAAACTGAAAAACTGAGTACAATATCCAAGATTCTCTAATAACTTCAATTTGTATTATTCTGTATAGTTAAAATTTAGAATGTAGGCTTCCAAAAATAAACGGGCAATTTAAATCACATAACAATTGCAATATTTACAGTTTATTCTTTGAACTTACATAATCAAGCCTATTCCTATAGAAACAGTATGAATAGTAACACTTTGTACAATAAGGAAGTACCCCATTAATGACAATAACTTGTCACCAATGACATGACAAACAAAATCCCTGGCTTGATGACATTTTTTCCTGAGGCAGTTTAGCTAAATGTAGATCAAGTTCCATTCTCCAAATGCATCAAATTTGGATCTTTCAACTCACTCTGTGGAAAGAAAATTCAAACTGAACTTTTTTATAGCCTCACTCTAGTCTCAACATCTTCAAGGAAATGCGGGAGTTAAGTATGCGAGTGGTAGGTAAAAAAAAACTTGAAGGAAGATTGAGGGATATTTAGTTGGTTTAGAAAGAGATATTCAATTTAGCATAGCATAAATGAATTTAGAGATTAGTCTGGGACGAGACCGAAAGACCTTGAAATATTCATAACCCTATCTATTTTTTGATTTCACATTCAACACAAATGTGTAATTCCAGATTTAAGCAGATATTGGGCAAATAAACAACATTTTTTCTGATCGATGAAATCAACATTTAAATCTGTTTTAGAACCGATTCACTTTATTTCAATTTCTGCTTTGGATTTGATTTTAAATGTTTTCAAATGATGAAATATGATTTTTATCAGAAACATTTTGACTTTCTGCTTCATAAAGAACATTTTAAACATTTTCCCAACTCAAAAATTTACTTCTGGATAAACGTGCTTCAACACTACAAATACAAAAGTATGGACTTTTATGCTTATTTTGAAAATAAAATCATCAGAAAAGGTTTTAAACCATGCAATCATCTCTAAAGCCAGAAAAACATTTTTTACTCTTTTATCATCTCTTTGGTTCAATGTTCCTTTAACTAATCATCGCTGAGTATTCTTAAAGAAGTAAACGCAACAAGACTTCATGAATCATTAATGACAATCTGCACATAAATGGAAAAAAATGAAAAACTATTTTTTGAGTAAACACAAGTTAAATCTGAAGTATACAAAAATATATGTGTTATTTCTATATTTTTGTAAGTAGAGTAAAAGCTACATGTACATACTTCATTCTAAGCTTCTTTAGGCATCTATGATATTACATCATGTTTTTTGTTTTAGGTCTATTGCTATCTCTTTACATATGCCATTTCAAGGTCACCAGTACTGTATGATAGCTGTAAGTTTATAACTTCTCAGAACCACACAACAAACTTGATATACAATACACTGTCTGTACATATAACAACTTTTAGATTAATATAAAAATAAAAAATATCCAACTAACTTTTAGAAAGTCTAGACGAACTGTGACCAGTTAAATTCCCTACTATAGCAGATTAATATTGTTTAATATTTCTATAACCAAACAAAGAGGGTAGGTTTATAAAACCAAATTGGAACACCTGTCATCTTTTTCATATTATTGGCTTGGAATTGATATAAAATTTCAATGTTGGTGCTCTTTACTTGGAGCAAAACTGAAAATTTAGCTTTGATATGACTTCTTCAAAGTATTTCTGCATCATATTTAGAATATTTTACAGTTTACCAAGTCAAGAATATTTGATTCTGTCTCAAAATATTTATTAACTGGGATACTAAATGTCGAAATTGAATATAGTTCATCAAATGTCTAAAAGTCTTTATGGCACCAAAATGCTTGTGTATAAAGAGTGTTCCATAGAATAATATAGATATTGAAAGAAATATATGTTCTAAATGTACACCTTCATGTAGTAGTTGTACTACAGATCAAAGGTCACAGCAGGGAATTTCCTGAGTGGGTTGGGGAAACCTCCCATGTCTTGACTGGTTTGAAAACTCGAATCAGTTGAAAAGGATAACCACAGACCAGTACATGTTATCGGTTTCAACACCACAGCAAAGAAAACTATGTTTACTAACTTGATAAATTTGAAATAATTTTTAAAATTCTGTCCCTGCTAACAAAGGATTTTTTGGAACAAAGCCATCACACAGTGATTTGTGGCTCCATTTCAAATCTATGTCAATTTTGAACATTGACTCAAATGTCTACAAAATGTACCCTAAAGTACCCTATGTCACCCATATATCCATATAACATTCAATGCAATGCTTTTAGAGTTCAAAACTGCAACAGAATTATGATCAAAAATATATTTAGAACAATGCTAAGTTTCATTTGATCGCCATTTGTGATACTTTTTGATGATTTTGTCGGGTCAAAAATCCCACCAAAATAGGGGTAATATCCCGTGGGTCTAGCGCAAAGTCCAGTCCTCAAGAACACTAATATGCTCTTAGATCAAAATTATACACTATAAAGATCATATAACTAATATTTACCTGATGAAAATCCGATAATTTTGATGAAATTTCAATGGAGAATTTTGTAGAGTTTAGGCCGCTTCACTCAGATCATGCATCGTGCTATCATGAATATTTGTTTTTGTAAGCTGGCATCTGATTGGTCAGCCAATTATCTCAAAATCTACCGATAATTCCCTTATTATAGATTGTCATTTAGAAATAGATTCTTTATCTCATCAAACATCCCATTAGAATTTTACCGAAGCAAAAATCATATACTTTACACATCTATTTTTCTCAAAAACATATAAATTGTAAACTAGGTCAAATTCTATTGACCAATCAGGGATCAGATGAGAGAAATGGCTTGGAAGCATACAAACTCATATAGGTAAATTGAACCAATCAGATATGAGAGAATTAACAAAGCCCCGGATGAAATATAAATAAACAGGACAACAAACTTTCAGGATCTGTCAATGGGTTCAATACATTTGAGGGGGAGGGGGGATTTCAAGACAATGTGAATCAATTCAAGACTTTTAGAACTCTTCAATTTCCTTCAATTATTAGTAATGTTTATGGTGTAAAAATAATTAATCTCTTCAAAGTATTGAGTTGGTTTTTACTGTTCTTTCATGATTCCAATTCTCAAATTCTATCTTACTTTTCTTTCGCAGTTCCTCCCCCTTCCTTTTGACACTATTCGTGATTCCAAATTTACATCAAAGATTTAAGGAAAGGTCCAGAGTCGTGTTTGAAGGACATGAAGGAGAAAAGTTATCAATATTGCAATGCTATCTGATTGACAAATGGATATTTGGTTTGAGAAAGAATTGGCTCCCAGGGTTCCAACTCAATATTCTGCCATATATGGAGATTTTGTGATTCGAATTCAAACAGCTGCCATTTTGGACTGTTGATTATGAATTTGTAGTCTGTTATAATGTCTAAAAATAACAACATTCTGACATTTTCATTGTAGGAAAATATTGCGTTGTGTCCCTTGGAGCCAATTCTTGTGGTTTGGGTTTTGGATTTCTTGAAAGGTCAAAACAAAAAGTGATTTAGCATCTTTAATTACTCTTTTAAATTCATTAAAACAGACAATGATTATACGTTAATCCCCAAAATATGTGCAACAAGCCATAACACAGCCTTCTCAATGAGCAAAATGATGGTTGGTATAAATATTTGGCCTGATGCAAAATCAAGATTCCAAATCAACTTATCTAACATAAGAAATGATTGACAGTCATAAATATTTATTCCCTTTTAATATGTTATATAGTATAATATCCATTGAAACCTAGTGATTTACCTTCATTTTGGTCTAAAACTAATTACACATGTTTTTCAATCTAATTTTTAATATTATGAAGACATACTGTACTCATAATTTAAGTCTTGCATCAATTCTCTGTAACCCCCCCCCCTCCCCCAGCACCCAATCCGCTCACTAATCTAATATCTTTCCATGGAATTAGGTTGTGGTAGATGCAGAGACTTGAAGCAAAACTAGTGTAAGTTTATTTCTCTCTAGTATTATGTCTTTTGTAAAGTTTTTTCTAGTTTTGCAATACCAATTTACCATGTTAATTTACCAAGACAGAGTTTGAAATATATCTATAATCTAGAAGCCCCTAGTTGAATTTTTCTAAGTTTCGATTGTACTTAAATAGTATATATAACATCTACTAAACTAAATTGCACATTATACATTCATTTATGATTAGATAATTAACATAATTCATTGGATATCAAAACAATATTTTTGTTAATTTAAGTGATTTTTATATGCAGCATATTACATCATGAATATATGCATTATAGTTACAATAATACAATGACTGGATTACAAGATTTTGTCCAACAAGAAATATTTTAAGGCCAAAGAATGACATTAGTATTAGTTTAAATTCATTATTGAAGGCCAAGGAACTCTAGAATTAAAAATGAGAGTTGTTTTGAATACCACTGGAAATGAAAGTTGTTTATATTTTTGAACACCCCTCAAAATATTTCAAACGAGTGGGCATTACAATATCTAATAATAATATTTAGAATACAGTATAGAAGTACAAGGACATCACTGTGAATCTAATATATACTCAATGTACAATAAGTATAGCTATATTACAATATAATACAAAAATCATATAATATGACAGTACTATTGTCAGTTTGAAGGATACTATCATCAGTGAGTTTACAACATTCATATACATTTTCATACATATGCAAAGATATTTTCTTTCTCCTACTCAAAAAAAATGATGAACTAAGCTTTTTTGAAAGCTCATTTTTTTTAAATTTGAAAACTGAGGCTAAATTTCAGATTTCAGTCACTACAGTTGGAATGTGCACACACAAACATTTTTGTAATATTTTTTTATTTTCTAATCCCTTCATAAAGCATTTCATTAACACATGCAGTATATAAATTTGATTCGTCTTAAATTGAATAAGATTCAATATTTGTTTGCAGTTTTTATCCCAAACCAATAGCAAATTACTATTATTTCACTTCTGACAATATTTCAAAATATTCAATTTTTTCATCTATGCATAACATCAAAATGCACAAGCTCACAATTTAATTTTAATCAACTAAAACTATTTGTCTAACGTTCAAGACTGGAAAAAAGATTTGAGATTGTTTGAGATACATAGTCTTCGGAAATATGAGAAAATAGTACAATATGTATTTCTGGAGGACCTTTTGGACAAACCTTGAAAATTGAGGTGAAATATGGAACCTTGTTTTTTGAATTCTAAGATGTTATATTAGACACTCATATGCTGCATTGAATACTCATACACTGCATTGAATACTTATATGCTACATTGAATACTCATATGCTGCATAGAATACTCATATGCTGTACTGATAACTCACATGCTGCAGTGAATACTCACATGCTGCATTGAATACTCATATACTGCACCAAAAACTCATATGCTGCATTGAATACTCATATACTCTCATATGCTGCAACGAAAACTCATATGCTGCATTGAATACTCATATGCTGCATTGAATACTCATATGCTGCAATGAAAACAAAACTCATATGCTGCACTGAATACTCATATGCTGTATTGATGAACTCAAATGATGCATGGAAACTCATATACTGCATTGAATACTCATATGCTGCATTGAATATTCATTACTACTCTATTGCATAAGGGACAAGGTTGAAATATTACTTACAATATATTTGTGCTGTGGGAAGGAAGCTTTAAGAGAAAACAGCAATATACTGTAAAAATTTTCAGCAATCATGCATTCTGTGTTCACTTTCAGAAATTAGATAGATGTTACTATATCATACAGCGCAATATAATATTTCAATAATATTTAACATGTACATACATTTACCCACATGTACAATGAATTCATTGGGTAGCATGCTTGTCAGGGGTTGTCCCAAAATTATCACAAATACTTCATTTGTTAAATGTAAGAATACATTGAGACAACCCATTCTTAATATTCAGTTTGGGTACTAAGAGTGTCATTTCTGACACATTTTCACATCTCACATACAGAACAAGTCCACATGTATATCAATCCATATTTCCTACATACTCATCAAGTGTTTATAAGCCAAGTTCTAATGTGAACAATCGGTAGACTTTAACTCTACAGGGTACCAATGTGAATCCAGAGTAAATCATCCGAGAAAAAGGTCTACTCGTGTGCCATGAGTATTCTTGTGTCTTGACTCCTCATGGGTCTTGAGTAGACATGAAAATGTACTACAACCTTTTTTATATGAAAACCCCGTGACAGGGCATGTAGGTTTGAAACCATGGTTAGTTTTGCTGCATTTCAATTTTACAATTGTGAAAAGTTAAGTATTATTGTTAAAATGCTGTGCATTTAAATTACGGAGTTTGACAAATTCATGAAATTACTGTAACAGTACATTGAGTACAACCTCAAGATAATGATTTTTTGAGTTAGGCAAGGGGACTTACTATCACAGACAATGTTGTATATAACATATAGCCTAGTTTTAAAACCAGGACCTTTCACTGATATTTGTATAGCTTGAGAAAATTGAAAAAAGTAGAAAAAGTTTGTATAATGTTTATATAATTTATGAATAGACTTAGGATATATCTTATGTTTCTAGTAAGCTATATTTCGCAGCAACCAAGTGGCAAGGTGCATAGGAGAGTACACTCTTAACAGCAGCCTTCCCCCTGGTTATTAGCCCTACTGCCCCCTGGCTGTTGAGAGCCACCAAGATGTGTGGATGTATGCTGGGGTCCTATTTTAATACCATTCGCCTGCAATACAATACACATAGCTAGACTTAAGAATTTTCATGTATGAATATTCAAGTCCCAAGCCTTTTGTATGGTTAATGTTACCTCAATCTTCCCGAAACCATCCATCACCAAATGCAATAATAATTACATTCCAAAGCCAAAGAAAAAAAGTATTAAAGTGAAAACTGGCACCCAGAATCCAGATTCAACTAAATATTACAGAATATTGTAGCTGCAAGCAGTATCTTGAGATATTATTTTTAGAAAAGCAGGTCCATTTTAACGGTTGTAAATGCTTATCCTGCAAATACAGATAATATCTATATTTCACAGATAGATGTCGCCTAAGGCATGCACAATCCATCTTAACCAGTACTATCCTGAATCTAATCATTTAGCCATGAAACACTCTAACTGTTACAGATGATTTTTTTACAGTTTTGATGCTGATTTTAATGATCTTCAATGTAGCATTCACAGCTTTATTAATATTATATAGACAGAAAATGTAGTTTGTCAGTTTTCTGACTTTATAATTGGACATAGGATATATCAAAAAATCAGCTCTCTAAATTAGAGTGTATACAAAGTTGAACTTTGTGACAGGGTAGCCCTATACATGTACATATTAGAACTTGGCATGACAACACTCAGCGTTCAGATGTTTAAAAGAGTTCCAGTCAATATTTTTTAGAAATGGGGGTAACACAGCACTAGCAGCACCCTCCACTTTGACTGTCTCCCCCTCCCCCTGCTTGATTCATGCCTCCTTGACTCCTGGACTGCTGGGGGCCTAACTTTATACCATTACTCTGCAATTAGAATATACATGTAGGATGAATAAACAGTTTGAAGCTCTTGACTTGGTGACTGCTGGGGGCCTAACTTAATACCATAACTCTGTAATTAGAATATACACGTAGGCTGGATAAACAGTTTGAAGCTCTTGACTTGGAGACTGCTGGGGGCCCAACTTAATATCATTACTCTGCAATTAGAATATACATGTGGAATGAATAAACAGTTTGAAGCTCTTGACTTGGAGACTGCTGGGGGCCTAACTTTATAACATTACTCTGCAATTAGAATATACATGTAGGTTGAATAGACAGTTTGAAGCTCTTGACCTGGAGACTGCTGGGGGCCTAACTTTATACCATTACTCTGCAATTAGAATATACATGTGGAATGAATAAACAGTTTGAAGCTCTTGACCTGGATACTGCTGGGGGCCTAACTTTATACCATTACTCTGCAATTAGAATATACATGTGGAATGAATAAACAGTTTGAAGCTCTTGACTTGGAGACTGCTGGGGGCCTAACTTTATACCATTACTCTGCAATTAGAATATACATGTAAGATGAATAAAAAGTTTGAAGCTCTTGACTTGGAGACTGCTGGGGGCCTAACTTTATACCATTACTCTGCAATTAGAATATACATATAGGTTGAATAAACAGTTTGAAGCTCTTGACCTTGTGACTTCTGGGGGCCTAACTTTATACCATTACTCTGCAATTAGAATATACATATAGGTTGAATAAACAGTTTGAAGCTCTTGACCTTGTGACTTCTGGGGGCCTAACTTTATACCATTACTCTGCAATTAGAATATACATGTAGGTTGAATAAACAGTTTGACTTGGAGACTGCTGGGGGCTTAACTTTATACCATTACTCTGCAATTAGAATATACATGTAGGTTGAATAAACAGTTTGACTTGGAGACTGCTAGGGACCTAACTTTATACCATTACTCTGCAATTAGAATATACATGTAGGTTGAATAAACAGTTTGAGGCTCTTGACTTGGGGACTGCAGGGGGCCTAACTTTATACCATTACTCTGCAATTAGAATATACATGTGGGATGAATAAACAGTTTGGAGCTCTTGACTTGGAGACTGCTGGGGGCCTAACTTTATACCATTACTCTGCAATTAGAATATACATGTAGGTTGAATAAACAGTTTGAAGCTCTTGACTTGGAGACTGCTGGAGGCCTAACATTATACCATTACTCTGCAATTAGAATATATATGTATGTTATATATTGATTTATCTGTGGCAGCTCTACCACTCAGAATTGAGAATGGGAAATGTAAAATGTAAATAAAGCTTTGCATTTCACCTAATACCATCAAAAATGTGCACATAACCGAAACAGGGTTCTCAGTTCATTTTATGTTTATCTACATATTCATTTTTCTGGAGAACCCTGTTATACGCAAGAAATGTGTAATAAAATAGAACATGCATAAAACATGCAGTGAAGAAGCAACATGTATTTTAAATCTGAGTAAACTAGCTTAAATTAAGCAAATATTATAAAATATTAGCATGAAAATAGCGCATACATGAAAATATGTAATAGTACAACATATATGTATTATAGAGAAAATCCAAAAGAAATGAATTCTCATACAATAAATTTCAAGACTAAGTAATTCTGTAAACACAGAGGTCAACATTTCATTTTTTCTTCAAACCCAATCTAGAAAGGCTTTGGTTCCCTCTCTAGTCCACTCAACCTTTCCAACCACCGAGAAGTTAAATGAGGTAACTCATAACATTATTCATTTAAAAAATGACAAACTGATATCTCACTCCTTGGTGTTTGATATCAGCAATATGTAAAGGTTTTGTGCTACTCCAAGCCTGAGAGTCTAGTAAAGGTGACATCTATTGAACTTACTTCATTATTTATATCAAATACGCCATCTTGAATTTTCTGGTAAATTTCTTTAGCTGTGTTGATGAAAGCTTCCTCTACATTGGCGGCTGTTTTAGCGGATGTTTCCATGAAAATGAGACCATGTTCCCGAGCGAATGCCTCGCCTTCTTCTTTCTTTACATCCCGTCTAGCTTCTAAATCACTAAAAGGTACAGAATTAAAATTCAAGATGAAATTGGGAAAATATTAAATCCATATTAACTTGGAACACAGTGAACATTTCGAGATTTAATTAGAAATCTAGAAATCTTTTTTATCTACTCTGGCTTTCACTGCGCAATGCACAATTATGTCATATCTTATCCTAATTGTACAAATCAACTGTTTAAATACATGGGTTAATTTCATGAATATACAAGGCATCAACATGCAAAATATCACCACCTATCATTTGTTACAGATGCCAAACACCAACCACCTAACACCATCCACAAAAAATTGGGGACTATAATATTAAGTCATCACTTGTGGTGGTGATATAAAAATATGCTTATATCAGATTCTAAATAATTCAATTTTGGTCCAAGTTAACAAACAAAATGCTTATACAACAAACCTTTTGTTTCCAATAAGCATTATGACCATATTGGAACTTGAATGTTGTCTAGCATCTTCTAGCCAGGTGGTCAGGTGGTTGAATGTGTCCCTCCTGAAAGTTCAACAAATAAAACATGGAATAAAGGACATTAGATGTTATGAATATAATGACCATATATGGAGCTTGAATATTTTCTAGTATTAAACATGAGGATTTGTGAGCAGTTTTGAGATAAAATGAGAATTTGGTCATTCTGAAAAACCCAAGTTCAGATTTAAACCTGACATGACTGAAAATACCTGATGATGACATAATAAGGTTACCTTGTGATGTCATAGACTAAAAGAGCTCCTGCTGCCCCTCTGTAGTAAGAACGTGTAATAGACCTAAACGACTCCTGCCCGGCCTGAAAATATAAGTAGTTGGTACATAGAGCAAAACATAGCTTTTTTAAACATTTCAGAGACAAATTTTCTTTTAGCACTCATAGGTAGAGTGACTTTTTCATATCAAGACAAGGGGATAATGGATTTATTCCTGTGTTTCAAATTAACGTTAATAATTAAAGTGAAGAAAAGAAGGTAAAAGCTTATATGAGTGAAGCATTGAGCTATTTTGCTTCACTGTTGATGACAATAGAATGCCTCAAACGATGAAACAAGATTGAAGAGATTGAGTATTTCATCTTTCAAAAATGAAAGACTTAAATATTAGGGAGGTTAAGCTACATATTTCAAGGAGAACTTCTATGTAATCATTCAACATTATAACCGCAGGTATTTCTGTCTCCTACTTAATTATTTTTCCAGGAACCTGATTGCACCTTTTTTCATGATATAGTAAAATCCGTCTAAGTGGAACACCTTTGGTACTTCAAAAAAGTGTCCTACAGAGGTGTTCTACTTCACAGGTTTCACTGTACATCTAAACTCAATCAGGTAAGTAATAATAAGGGGAGAATTTATTTCTAAAAGACCAAGATTCTACATGTTCACATACAAGTTCTCTAAAAAAAACGTAGCTTGACTTGTGCTTCACTATTAAGTATAACTCACAGTGTCCCAGATTTGAAGTTTTATCTGTTTTCCATCGATTGTGATCATTCGAGCACCAAATTCAACACCTGCAAAGAATTTAATGAGAGGTTAACTTGCAATGTATGATTATAGTTTTTACGTGAGGCATACAAAAAAACTTGTCATTTCAGCACATTACCCTTATCATCATTAACCTGAAAATAAGGCCCATTTTACCCTTGGATCCACAAGTATGGTAATTAGAATAAATGGCCTGTTTTTAAGCTAGGATCCACCAGTATGGTCATTCAAATAAATAAATAAATGGCCATTTTAGGATATATGGTCATACGAATAAATAAATGGCTATTTTGAGGCTAAGATCCACCAGTATGGTCACACGAATAAATAATTGTCCGTTTTGAGGCTAGGATCTACCAGTACGGTCATACGAATACATATATGGCCCGTTTTGAGGCTAGGATCCACCAGTATGGTCATACAAATAAATGGCCGTTTGAGGCTAGGATACAAATAAATGGCCGTTTGAGGCTAGGATCCACCAGTATGGTCATACGAATAAATGGCCGTTTTGAGGCTAGGATCCACCAGTATGGTCATACGAATAAATGTCCATTTTGAGGCTAGGATCCACCAGTATGGTCATACGAATAAATGGCCGTTTTGAGGCTAGGATCCACCAGTATGGTCATACGAATAAATAATTGGCCGTTTTGAGGCTAGGATCCACCAGTATACGAATAAATAATTGGCCCTTTTTAGGCTAGGTTCAACCAGTATGGTCATACTAATTAATAAATGGCCGTTTTGAGGCTAGGATCCCCCAGGCTGGGCCAACAGTCCGGGCCACCAGTATGGTCCATAAGATAAACAAAGAGGAATGATGAAGCAGCCTGTCTGAAGACATAGGAAGAAAATGTTTCTTAAAAGTAACAATGTTTGCTATTTTGTTGTTGTTATAATTCTAGCTTTCCCACTCATGTCTCAAAGTCAAATCCTATGAATTCACAACAAGGCCATATTGACACAAGACAGCTCCCACTGAGATATTGTTTTAAAGGGCAGCAGCTAATCAAGCAAAAATTGCCAGTTTATAGCCCTGTAAATTGTACAATAAGACACCTTGACCATGCATGAGATTGTCTGTTGAGTAAAAGTCACTTGTAAATAGATTATTCAGTTATGGCAATGCTCCATCATGAGAAAGCATGGCCTTCTGTTAGCTTATTTCTAGATGAAGGCAGAAAGATGTGACCAGTATCAGAATGGCAACTAGACAACAGCAACGCCAAAGTGCAGCAAATCCCATCAAACAGCCGTGGCTGGCATTTTTACTTACGAAAAATCGTAAAAAACACAAAACATGGCCACCATTTTCAAAATGGTTGCTCACTTGCCAAATTGTCAGCAGAAAGTGTAATATGCTTGTAAGGAGGCATATATAAAATTTCAACAAAATTGCACACACATACACGTAAATGGCGGCCATTTTCAGTCTAGAAGTCCTTTTCCCACATAAGCACAAAAAATGTTCAGACTTAAAATGTGGGCCCTTCTTGTTAGTTTTTAGAAACACCCCTGCTCATGTTGTGCCCTGGATGTTACGAGTCAAAATAATTTGTATATGAATTATTGCATTGCCATAGTCTAACTGTATCAATAATTTATGTACACAAAACAATTCTTACACTGAAGGAGAAGGGTAAAATGATTGATTTTAAAATCAGCCTCTAAAATTCATACTATAAATGTTTTGAGGACAAAGCCTCGTGCCCTCATTAAAAACAGCCTCTAAAATTCATCTAAATAAAAAATTTGGGACCAAGTCTTGTGTCTCTCTTATTTTTGCCAAACCATTAGTAGCCATGTGTAGACGCTACAAGGCTCAATTTACTGTTGCTATTACAAACGGACAGCAGAATACAGCACAATCAAAAAATCCACTTAATTTTATTGAAAAATGAATCAAAGCCTGAGCTGACCTTTATTGACTTTAAAATACGATATTTTGATTTAGTCTGCCCTGAAATATTGATTAGTTAACTAATAACTAATGCTAAGCATCTGTAAACTCAGTAATATTGATGATAGTGTACTGCTTGAGTACTTGGTGGAGAATCAATACTATACTAGAATTTACAACTCCATCTGTGAATTAAACGCCTTAAATAGTTGAGTTGCACTTTTTCTCATTGAGAAAGCATACAAAAGAACAAATAAATTAATTAATAAGCTAGATTCTCAACAAAGAAACCATAAAAGGGAAATTATAGAAGATCAACGGTATATGTGTGAGTTCAATTGAGAGGTTCATAAAAAATATGGTTCTTAAGAGTGCCCTAGTATTCCATCAAGCCATTGATTCAATGTACATGTTTTTGAAAGTTTGAGTCAGTCCCATTGTATCTTTTTCATTCTTTATACAGTAAAACCTGTCAAAGTGGATTTGCAACCTCTAAAAAGTGTTCCACGTGGGAGGAGTTTCACTTAAAGAGGTTCATTTTACATTAAGTCAGTTGGTCTTGAAACTCTTGAGAACTGTTCCACTTCTAGAGGTTGTTCCACTTCTAGAGGTTGTTCCACTTTACAGGTTTCATTGTATTCTGATTCATACACGGTGACTTTTCTCGTTACCAATACATCATTAAAAACAAAGGTCCAAATAATAAATTATAAAAGTCATCCTCATACGTATATCAATGAGACCAAAAATATTATAGCTAAATGTCTGCACAAAATGTTGCTTCCATAATTACAACATAATCATGGCATTTATCAATCAAGGAAAAAAATATGATAATTGGTTACTCTTTATCTTATTCATTTGTAAAACTACATAATTCTTAATATCATACTGATCCTGATGCACAGTGAAAAATATAATGAACGTTGTTAGTGCATAATGAACATAATGAACGTTGTTAAATGTTCATTTCTCTCTTGGTATTCATCTCCAAAATTAAAGAATATATGAATTACACATCCCGGATGTCTTCATTTCCCACTTGCTATTCATCTTATCAAAAAAAACAAAAACATGCATGCTACACCACTTTCATTTTTTATTCAAAGAGGTACTTGTAACTTACCTATTGTTAAGTCATGTACAGGCTGAAATCGCTTGTCTGTAAACTGTAGAAGAAGACATGATTTACCCACTCCTGGAATCAAACACAAGATGAATGTAAAATAAATGATTAACTCTGCCCTGAAGATTTTATAACTACCTACTTCATTATATCAAGGAAGTTTGGCTCCCAGTTTTCTTTCGTGATATTTTTTTGACTGGCATGAAATAGGCTATAATGTTCATTTTCAGATAAGGAAGGAGATATCACATTTTGAGTTTTGATATATCGCCAACGGCCAAAGAAATATGATGGATTTTAGATAAAATTCTAAAAATGGACAATATGTGAGCACCAAACAAAGAATTTTTGGACTATTTTTGAGTCAAAATCTGAGAAACCTCTTTGTATTGTTGGTATATATGATATAACACGCATGGGAGTACCAAAATATACAACACAACAGGCATTGCTGTATAATTTTCAGGAACAAACATTTCTGAAAGTGTGACATTGCCATTCTTTATTGTTGGTACCTTAGAATATACATTCACGAGATTATGTACATACTTGAACAGAGTACACAAACCCAGTATTACTATTATTCAAGACATGTTTAGTAGGCAAACCTTTATCAAAACTTTGGTACTTAGCGATCTATGGTATCTAATATGGTAATTAAGGCAGAATGGTACATAACCAAACAATTTTTCTGTTAAAATATAATTTCAAGAGGTTTCATAAGAATCTGAAGACCCAATAAATATTCAAAATAATAATTTTAACATGGGAAAAATTAAAAATTCCTCAAAATAAGAAAATTGACAGTTGCCTGCTACATATAAAATCCCTAGCCTTCTATCAGGGCTCTGTGCTGACCTTATTATTTCATTACTATTCAAATTAAATATTAATCATTTTGATTAAATTAGACTTATCAGCTCTGTGTATATCGCTATGTTATGGTATAACACCCACATTGATAATTGCTTTGTTTCCAGCCACTTGTGATGACCAGCTGGCACTTAACACATAGATTAGCACAGTGCTACAATGAAATAGGTCTTCTATAACATCTGTCATTTGGGCACATGACGTGACCATAAACTTGTGTTTACCTTTTCTATAATCCAAAATCAACATTCCCGAGGCTTCATATATCTAAAGCACATATCTAATTATACAATGTACATTCACAAATTCAACAACGAATAAGGATGCCTGATATCAAAAACTCTGATCATTAATATATATATTCATATATGTTATAATATTGTAAATTTTAATCTTACACCAACCTTATTTTTATTGGTTTGAAGTTAGAGAAAAGATGAAAACTTTGACAAGACCACACCAGGTGAAAATGAGGTTTCAATAGTAAAAATACCTGTTCCAAACAAAGCAAAAGCTTAGGTATTTATTAATGTAAAGATGTTTTCATTCCATGGAAACACTAATTCCCTGGAACAAAAATAGTACCAATAGAAATGGCGGACGGAATGCAGAATTTACAGCTAAAATCACATCGAGATTTTAAAGATTTTTTTGAATATAGATCTTATAGCAGAACTTTTGCTTCCTTTGTGTATTCTCTCCTTGAGATAAGAGTCTTTAAGGCATCTATAAGTAAATCTATTTCAGAAAGAACTTTAAATTTGGTTTGAAAACCCACCACTTATTTATTGACGCATTTACTGTAGCTTATAGGATATTAGGTGCATATTGCTTTTTCTTGGAGCTCCTTACCTAAAGGATGTATATAACTATCTAGGCCTTAGAAAACCTTAAAAAACGACTTTTTGAGGATAATCATCAATTTGATTTCTTTCCATGAACTAAATCTAATAAATGCACTTTCAATTTCCTATTGAATTTCAAAGTGTTCTAATAATGAAAGTGAAAGTGTTTGACCGTTGTCAGGAATCCCCCAAAACAAATGTCACAATGAATGTCTCAATACCATCCAACAAATATTGATGACGTAATATTCGTAGCCCGCTCTTGTGGAAATCCAATGTAATGTGACATCATTTCCATAACAATGGTATATCTGAAAATTGCTAAAAGTAGGGGTCAATGTAACAACTCCCACTGCGTCAATATTTTAAAAATTTACATTATCCTCATATGGAATGAAAGATGACAATCTACTCTAAATGTTTAAAGTCCCCGTCTAAAGTTTGAAAATATTTTTTTATCATTCATTTACTATTTGTCATGACTTAAAAAGTTATTCTAGAGATTTTTGAAAGAAAATTTTTTTTGAAAAAAAAGTTGTGAGCATTTAATTTCTCAAATATTCAAATTTCCCGCCATTTTTCAAAAAAAGTTGAAATTTTTTAATCATCAAATAGTTCTTAATGCATTTTGAAAAAGATTATCTTTTTAACACCAATGCAAAGATTGATCAAAGGACACACTATTTCAATTATAAAATGCCATATTTAATAGGCCACTTCAAAGTTTTAGCATATCAAAAATATTTTGCACCATTAGTGATGTCACTAAGGTACCAAAAACTTTTTGAAAAAAATTGAAATTTTTTTTTCGATGTCAATCTTTTCTTAATATGCTAGACTTCAATAATATACCAATGTTGATTGTCTAACCAGGTTAAAAGGAAGAATATATTATGTTTTAGATATCATTGTACCATTGGTTTCTATGAGAACTAGAATTTTTAAATGCATTTTTCTCGGAACCATTTTCATGCACTGATAAGTTTATTTCTCGCTTATTTATGAACCAATTTTCATAATTTTTTCGGCAAAAAACATGCGAGGATGAATGCTATGCATTGGTATGAGATATGGCTAATTAAAAGATATGTGTGACCTCTAAAAGTTAGTTTTAAATAAATTCACAAATTTTGGAACAAAAAGTCTATCAAAAACCACTTTTTGAAATTAAAAAAAAAAGTTTCACATATCACACTTTGATAACATTAGGTAAGACTACAATATAAGCCAAAGTGGTTTAAACTTTAGATGGGGACTTTAAGTAATGAAAAGTATTATACATACACAGCAACATGCTGAATTAAGGCTTTGAAAAGGTGCCAAAACACTTTGATAGTTGTACGACAACCTTTAATCTAAGAAATTCTTGCACAACTACGTTGCAACGCTGCTTGGCTTCAAAATGGTACTTGATTTGCTGTGGTTAATTATAATATTTCCATCAAATTATTGTATTGATTTCTCGAAGCGATCTCTAAACTTTGCCAGACCATGACAATGTAAGGAACTACCCGCGTTTTTTCAATCATATTAGCGCCCGGGTTTCAGTCATATTAGCGCAATTGCATTGTGTTCAACAAATTATGGATGGTAAGTTTAACAATTTATCATATAAGATTATATTTGGACCAGCATATTGCAAATAATAACTGAAGATCAAAAGGAATCAACTCCAAAGTAGCGCTGGGTTCAAAATTTATTCTCAAGTTCATGAATTCTAATATGGGACAAATACCGCCCCTAGTGACACTATTAAACTGTGATAGTCCAAGTCACTAGGGGCAGGCCAGCCCCGCCTAATATCTAACCTAGTATGTATCCAACAGACCGAATATAATATTCGGTCTGTTATGATTGATATATTTCCTATGGAAATCGCGGTGATATTTTTTGCACATAAATTTCTCGTTTATTACAAGAATGTTCACCTTGAAAATTGGTGAATATGTTGAAGAGATGTTCATCTTAAACTAGAAGCAAAAATATTTGTATAAGGCGGGTACAAGTTGATATAAAATAATGAAATGTTCAGACTCACCAAAACTTCAGGATGTGTTTATAAGTACATCGCGAAATCAATGTCAAGGACGTTTGAGTTCACGAGATCCAAACGAGATATGCAAATTTTTTGAACTTTGACAACACATGACCACTTGATTACCTCGGCCTTCTTCATGAATATTTCCGCTCTATTTACTATAAATGAAGAAAATTAATCGGGATAATGATAATAAATGACTAGATCTAATAAATTCCCGCACAAATGGAATTTATCAACACGCTTCCGTCCGCTCCACGTGTTATTTGTTTACAAATAGACTGACGTCACTGGCTAAATCTCGTTTATCGTGAGAATTGGCATTGCCAAAATGGCTTGACCTAATCAATGGCTTCGCTACAAGAAGCGTCTGTACATTTTATGAATATCTTCAGTAAGAGGACAATATACGAAAAAATAATATTGTAAGTACTTTACAAGGTAATCATTTTATCATTTAACAAACTTATTTGTAACATTTATTCAACACCACATTTTACAATAGGTGACTTACAGTCTGAATATTTATTCAGACGAAGGATACAGTCTAATATCTAACCCACAGGATCTAACCCTGCCATACAAGGAACACATTGGGTTCATCTATCCCTTCAAATTCAATTTTATCAGGTAAACACTGAACTATACATTCAAAGGGTATGATTTCATAAACGAGTGGGACCAAAGACAAGATGAATCAAATATATAACAATATCACATATTTTCGCCATTTGCTTCCAAAATTCAGGAAAAAACTCAAAAAAATAAATCGCAGGTGTTGATAATAAACACTGATATCTTCAAAACGTGAACATTTCCAACTATCAAATTTGGTGTAACCATACATAAGAACGCTAGAATTATGATGGACTTACCAGTATCTCCGATAATGATATATTTAAATAAATATGCGTACGACATTGTGAATATTTGTTTCAGAAATCAGTGATGTCAATTTTCAATACTGACGTCATTAACTCTATTGCGCATGCGCGAAAGGAAGTGCACTGTATGAAACCAAGTTCCCGGGTAAGTGTTAGGCCTACACCCGTACCCGGGTTAGCCGAGGCTCCTAATATCAGTCATATTCTTCATATTTTATAGTGCCTGAATTTTCTAAATGATTAGCTCTCAAATAAATAAATAACTAAGGCAAATTAGGCTCAGCAAGTTAAATTATGGGTTACTGTGAGTCTCAATGAGAAAAGGGGTATGAGGGATGCCCGTTTACATTGGGTGCCATGTTAATTTATCAATCTTCAACGGGCCCCTACAGAACAATTCCAGAGCAATTAAATCCCTCCTCTTTCACATGATCTTGATTGCATTTGAAGCTTTCTGGGGCGTTTTGAAATACGAAATTCCGACTAGGCTAATATGGACTAGGCCTAATAACTTGTAAATTATTACCCGCCGTACCCGGGTTCTTAGCCGAGGCTACTAATATAAGTCATATTCTTCATATTTTATGGTGCCTGAATTTTCTGCTCTCAAATAAATAAATAATTAAGTCAAATTAGGCTCAGCAAGTTAAATCATGGGTTACTGTGAGTCTCAATGAGAAAAGGGGTATGAGGGATGCCCGTTTACATTGGGTGCCATGTTAATTTATCAATCTTCAACGGGCCCCTACAGAACAATTCTAGAGCAATTAAATCCCTCCTCTTTTATATGATCTTGATTGCATTCGAAGCTTTCTGGGGCGTTTTGAAATACGAAATTTCGCCGGACTAATATTATAAAATGTAAATTATTGGCCACTTCAATATAAAAATCCTCTCTTTCTCAAAAAGTCTACTTTAAAATCTTCTAATATTGCAGATTTCCAAAAAAACACTTCTTGAAAATTGCTTTCGGGCGAAAAGGCATGTGGACTTTATTTGATAGTTTTAACTTTACACCTCCCACGGGCCTCAAAGTTTAACAATTTGGCGTAAAATGTATTAAAAACGCCTATTTCTGTGTTCAAATAAAGAATACAACTAAATTGTATTTAAAACACACCTACTGACGTTGCCTGATAGTACAATATGAAGAATTCAATTATTGAACAATTGAGTCGTGTTTTAGTTTGTTTTTACTATTTTATTATTGTCTTAGAAAGTTACGGGTTATACATTATAAAATGGAAAGACAGAGGGAGAATTTACGCCTTTGACAATAAGGTTTATCTCTTCGTGCCGTCAACATCTACACACTGTCTATAAAGCCATCTGGCAGCACACACATGAGCAGCTTTTGGCAAAAAACAGTTACTGTATCTGAAAAATAAAAGGAAAATCTTCAAGCTTTAGACAATTTGTTTATTACTTGTTTTGAATTTACATTATTTTTTTCTGATGGAACAAGTTCATATATTCGATCAGCCATGTTTTCACTAGAACGAGATATAAAGATTCAAACTGGTACCAGTGATCTAAAGTGTAATAGTTTAAACCAAAATTTAACTTTTAATTAATTAACTTATTTCATATATTACCTATCGCCTTATATATTATTTGTGGCTTTTTCTTCACGGCAACCAATATAAGGTAAACTGGTATTCCTATAGCCCCTATTCCGATACTAATAAGACAGTTGATAGGCTCCCTGTAGAAAGCAACACCAACGAGGAAAGCACATGCTATAAGAAATGTAATTGGAATCACAAGAGGTATCTGAAACCAAAAATAATCCAATTTTACTCTAATTGCTTCAAAGGGTCCCGGGTTCGATTCCCATACGACGCGTTTTATAAGCACACAACCTTTCATTCTTTTCTGTTTCTTATACATTTTGGTCTTTCCCGAATTTTAGTTTTTGAATGACAACGGATAAAAAGCAATATATATTGCTGTAACTTCGACACAACATGGAAGCTTTGTCAGGTATACATATTATCTCTTTGCGAGAATGAAGCAAGTGGTAGCAAATACAAATCACCAAAATACATTCACACCACACTATTGTTCCAAGTTTGAGTTTGATTCCATAGTAGAGTAACCAATTACTCACCTTAAGCGGTCTAGGAATGTCAGGTAACTTCCATCTGAAGTAAAGAATTGTCGAGGTGGCAATCGAGAGCAAGCCCCATCGTATAAGGACGTAGTAGTCCAACAAAGATGTCAACGAAGGGGCACACAATAACGCAATAGTCAAAGCACACTGAAAACATGAAATGTCAACTTCAGTGACAGTCATGTTCTATTTAATCTGATTCTTGTCAGTGGTCAGGTGAAGTGTAGCAAGCACATAGCAAGCACATAGCGATAAGAAATAACTTTGCATATTTGTTCATCACTCAATTTCCTACCAGCCTACTATATTTCATGACCATCTGATTGATAGTCACCGTGTTACAGCACAGAACATTCCGGTTGGCCACTATTGCACTGAAGACCAACCTGCACATGTCGTCCAAAATGTCCCTACCTATGGGGATATGGCAGAGATAGAATGTATGATAATGACCCCAGGACAATTGCAGACCTCAAAAGCGAGATCATCTGTATCATTCAGGCCATTACCTGCTGAGGAATGCATTTGGATCATTGACAGCTGTGCAGGTTTGCCTCCAGCGCGATGATGGCCAAACTTAAAACATGTTGTTCAAAGTGCTGTAAAATCGTGACTATCAGTCTGATGGCCATGAAATATGGTAGGGTGGTAGGAAATTGAATACTTTACAAATGTATTAAATATCAGGGAGTAATTTCTTAAAATGACAAAGATACGAGGAAAATGCAGGGTTTCTGTTTTTTTGACCACCCTGTACATTACGGGGTGTACTACAGCGGGACTATGCAGAATAGTTTTTGCATTTAAGAATGACAAGATTTCAAATCTTGCCACTGTTTCCCCTTTTAGTTTTAAATGATTGATTTAAAGCAAGCCATTGAAAAAAGGAAAATGTTTGCTCATGACAGATACCGGTGAAAACTGAAGAATTATCCCTTACGTTCAAAAGCAGAGCTGGAACAGGTGTGAGCCTTTTGATATGTAACATGGAAAGAAGTGTCGGTAGATGACCCTCTCTTGCTCCTACATAATACACCCTGAAATGTGACGCATAAACAGACATTGTAAAACCGGCAGATCCAACCACCGAACAGCGACCAGAAAAAGGTTGGAGGCCATAACAATATGTCACCACTTCTGATGATAACACAATAACGTTATATGGAAATACCGATGTATTGCATGAGCCCAACAGCTTCGAGATTGCAACCTAAACTGTATCTTTCATCCCGCACGTACCTGCTACAGCCAAGTATAGATGCATTCAGGCTGCCTATGATGGAGATGGCCACGCAAACTGGCATTAAGTAATGGGCGGCCCCAAGCATTCGCTGTGAGAACGTCTGTAACGCGGAAAAGAAACATTGGGAAACTCCAAAGGTCGACTCAAACGTAGAGAGGCTAAATTTAGGTCGATGGCCGTATAAAAACATTTAGAAATATACTTTAAGGTCTCTTTCGTTATGGTCATGCTAGGCAAATGATCGAATGGAAGAGTGGTCTCAAATTTGGCATTTCTTGAAGTATGTAGGCTTATTATGGGACATGATCTACAGGATTTTCTCACCACAGCTACTGCATCCACACTAATGAGTTCTTCGGGAGACAGCACAGCTAAGTAGGACACGTTCACTAATATGTAGGTTAGTGTCACAATGACTAGGCCTATTACGATTGAATATGGCAACGTTCTACAACAGTATAAATGAGGCATAAACATGAGGAGATGACAGTCATGGCATGGTGGAAATAAGAAAAGTCTCGAATGATAATTGTTCTGACGTTGAACGCAAGTCACAAATATGTTGCCTATCATTTTCATGAAGCCATTTCTAGAAGTCAATATTATAACAATATAATGCATATATTACCCCTTCAGTGATGGTGACATAACCGCTTACCACATAACCACACCGGAATAGCCTGACTACGGTAAAATCAGATACCGTTGTCACAAATGGCGGACATAACTGTCGCTTCAACTGTTTAATCACTTGGTCCTCATTTCATCGGATTTTATCGTCGCCAAATCTGTGCATGCATTAAGCTCTTGTGATAATGTATCATATGAAATCCCATTTTCGATCAAATTGGGTCGTGAATCGCCACAATAATAGCGTTTTCGATTTCGTCAATGACAACGGAATCTGAATTTGAGTAATTTAGAAAAACAACGGCATATGGTAATTACAGTGTCCGTTGTCCCGTATCTCATTTTAATCGGTTAAATTAAAGACTTTATTTCGATGGTAGAACATTATTAACTGTACAATGAGTATAAATACACTTTGATTGATTGTTATTCCAAAGGAATTTGGTCTAGGTGCTATATTAAACATACAGTTCATGAATTGAAGCGACGGTTTTGTCCGCCATTTGTGACAACGGTATCTGACTTTACCGTTGTCAGGCTATTACGGGGTGATAACAACAGCGAGGCCAAATAAAAGTTGGATGTTTATCAAACTAGCAAAGGGGCAATGCATTCAAAGGGTAGGGAGATTATACATTTATGTACATCCTTTTTCGGAACATTTTAAAACACAAAGTGGACATCGCATAACATCACAAACAGCTAAAGAGTAAAGAACGTACCGTTTCACATTTTTGATTTCCTCAGTTGCATAGTTCATATTTTCCCTAAAATCAAACAAAAGCACAATGTAGGCAACATCTCAGGGCCAAAAAAATAATTTGTACTCTAAAGCCTAGAAAACAAGTGAAATCAAGCCATTGAAAACGGTCATTCTCGCAAGTCTCACTTCTTTGAATTGGACATTTTATCAATATTTCCAAGTCATCGAAAGTGTCGACCTTAACAAGGCACGAAGATTGCCAAACCTATGGAGAAGGAGGCGGGGTGTGCACCTACCATCCAGCATACGCATAAAGACCATAATAAATGGACATGACCAGACCTCCTACACTGGAAGTACTGCCTTCAAAACTGTTTTCGAATCTTTTTGTTCCACCTAAAAAGTTAATTTTTTGAGATTTAAAATAGCCTGACAATTTGTGATCACAGAACAACGCCTTGAATAATTTAATTACATTTACATTTCTGACGTTTCATTTTTATCTAATTGAAGGCATTGGTGTTGCAAAAAAGCTAATCTCTAGTAATCTGTGTCCATTGCACAATTTAACTCAATAGGCAGATTATTATCCCAGGCCCGTAGGCAGCTTTTACCAGGGCGAACGGCTTTGCCAAGGGGGAAGCTTTTTGACAGTTTTGGAAAAATATGCGAAAAGTGCTCAGAATGTTGAAAACTGCATTATTTTGAAAGATTTTCTGGTCCGTTCCCCCTGGGTACAGGCCCGTTGCCTTACCTTGCGACAATGCGTACATGCCAGCACACACAATCGTACCCAATGCTAGTAGTTTTCCAAGTGTTGTCACCACTTGGAACATAGAACCCCATGACACTCGCACACAATTAATTAGTGTGATGAGACCTAAAATGAAATTCCTAACATGGTCTCTATATTCTAAGCTGGGATTGAGCACATTAACAATTAATTCCTGGCTTACCTGTGCACTCCCCTCCAAAACTTTTGAAGTTTTGCAGCACAGATATTCCATTTCGTAGCCTTTAACATTAAAGCCCGTTCATGCTTAATTTTTTTCCTTCCATTAGGTCGGAAATGGGTCTAATTGCTAAATCCCAAAATATAGGACTTTTACATATGGTAAGAGGAGTAGATGTTGTCAGTTCTTAGAGGAGAGCGTTCATGAGGTACATATCTTGCTACGCGCCAACTCGACTCACTGGCACGAAAATCGGGATACTGATCATGTATGTTGATCCATGTTACATGAACTAATGCTTTTTAATTCAGAATAAAACTATTCATCACTGTGGTGGAGACCCCTCAAAAAATTCCAAAATTTGATCATGTCAGGCAACTTAGGATTTTTCAATTTCATGAAGATTTGCATAGATTTGCATACACATCACAAACCGGCAGCTCCACCATGACCTCCAACAATTGAACATAGCCCACTGTGTCTAAGTTGAACAAAACACATGCAAAAAAACATTTTTAGAGGTGCTTGTTTGAACAAAGGGCTAAATGGGCAGATCCCATATGACAACGATGTACTGTAGAAAATTTGAGACTGTATTGTTAACCTACAGAAGACAACAGCTCCGATAAGGCGTGTGGCGAAATATGGCGGAACACAGGTGGGATATATTGGCTGAGCCAGATAGTGGCCGACCGCCAACGCCCTGAGAGCCTGTGACGCTGGCTGTCTGACGAACTGCTCCAACCATATGAATATGAATCCCGCAAGGTCCCCATACGCCTTCTTAACGTACGTGTAGGAGCCCCCTGATGATCGAATAGTCAAGCCTGCAATATAATCATTAATGGAGCACTAAATGGTGAATGCGTTCACTAATTGTTAATATGATCTTAATGAATGTAGTTTATTGACAATTTATAGAAAGAGGAACTCATAATTTAAAGTTTTTTTTAAATTCAGAAATTGATATGTGACATTTTATTTTGGTACAGCTACTCCTAATTCAAAGTTTTTGAAATTCAGAAATTGATAAATGATTTTATAGTTGTACCTTATTAACGTTTCATTCACGAAACCTCGCCAAGCGAAAATAAATAGACTCAAAATGCTATTTATGCATGATAACTGACCCTCTGATTTGAGTATGAACTAATTAGAAGACTGCAAATAGGCCCCAGCCCTATGTAAATCCAATGGAGAGAGGTATTTGGTCTTAGCCTTTCCCCGGGATTTGTATTGGCATTGTACTCACCGTTCATATAAATCAACACTTTATTCAGATGGTCGGTCTGGTAAGGGGTAAGGCTGTATAAGATGGATACAAAAAGCTCTGGACCATAATTTCATTCAAATCTGGGTTTAAAGGAAGTGTAGACTACTTAGTACTTACCCAGTTCGGCAAAACATAAAGCACCGAGAAAACTGATTACACCAGACACTGCCCATAACACCAATGCTAATCCCACTGATCCTGACTCTCTGAGGATTCCCTTTGGACTGACAAAAATCCCAGTCCCGATGATCCCTCCTACGATATAACTTGTACAGCTGAGCAATCCTAATTGTCTCTTGAGGTAAACTTGATCAGTTGAGGGATTTTGATCACCAGAACCTTCCATTTCTTTTGCCAGTGGTGTTACCTCTGTCGTTGACGGCTCACCATCTTGTGCTTCAGATGTGTTCGATGACATCTTTGGCGTTAATTTGTGCCAGGACTAGTCGAATTATTAATATCGTACAAGTGAAAGCTCCTACCTGGAGCTACAGCAGTAGTATTTGATTTAAATTTTATGATATACGATTTCATAAATTAGTTTTGTTGTCAAAAATATATCAAGCGTTAAAGACAAGTGCAAAAAACTTCCCCGTTCCATATTAACGAATCTTTAGTTTGTCGAATTTCAATAAACTTTGAAACGATAATGTTTAATCATTTACAGCTAATATTACAATAAACGTGTCATAAGTTCGATACATTCGGTTTGTTATCGATATGAGATACAAACGTTATCTTACGGTGGAACAAATGTTAACGAAAGGTTTGCCTTCATCGAAAGCTGAAACAACTGTAACGCAATGCTTGCTTTTATCTTAAGGTGGGACAAATGTAACGAAATATTTGCTTTTATCTTAAGGTGGGACATATGTAACGAAATGTTTGCTTTTATCTTTTATCTTAAGATGGGACAAATGTAACGAAATGTTTGCTTTTATTTTAAGGCGGAACGAAATGTAACGCAATGCTTGCTTTTATCTTAAGGTGGGACAAATGTAATGAAATGTTTGCTTTTATCTCATGGGACGAATGCAACGAAAGTCTTTCTTTTATCTTTAGGTGAGACAAATGTAACGAAAGTCTTGCTTTCGTCGTAAAGTGGGACGAATGTAACGAAATATGCTTACACCTAAAAGAAACAATGGAACTTCCCTTTATACCTCAATCTATCCAGTGGTGTTGATCACCTGTATTACTATGAAAAATCTTCATATTCTTGTATATGAACGTCATACGTTTACTTTAACGTGTGAAATCAGTATTCATGTTTTAATCCTAGGACTAGCTAATTTTATTGAGTTACTGTTTGGTTTTACACTACATTAAAATATGAATTTGGCAAATTTGTTTTGTGTTTTAAGTGCTCCTTGCTATTTTTGCAATATAATTTCTCTTTTTGGCAATGTGAAGAAAAGCTGAAGATGAAGCTCTCTTTTAAGAAGCGAAGTCGAACGAATGCAAAGGGTAGTTAACGTTGCGGCTGATCGGAAAAGTGAACAAAACCTAGTACATGCATGAGTCTTCATCCTGGACCAAACGTATGTGCGTTGCAATGGTAGCCTATATACAGTAAAACCTGTGTAAAGTGAACATTTTTTGCCGAGAAAAAATGTTCACTGTTGTAGGTGTTCACCAGAGCAAGCATTTGATTTCGCGGCATTCTGCCGTATTATACAAAGAGACTAGTTATTAAACTAGGCTAAAGAGGGGAGGGTATAATCAATTTAATTTGTATTTTCTACCATTGATAACCTATTACACTCTAGCGATAAGTTTTGGGTTTGATTTAATGTTATATAAACTGACTTATCTTAGACTGACTGGTATCTGATTCTGAATAGTTTCAGGGTTCATCCTTTTATAGTTAACCAGATTATCTCAATAACAATCGATACTAGACGAATATCCTGTCTTACAAAAACAAAGCTTATTAAGAATTATAATTAGGCACACCTGTTTCAACAGGAAAGGAAATCAACATCTCAAATTGATCTTTTGATTATTTTTTGGCAGGTAATATAAAAATTATCTGATTTAATGTTCACAAGAGACAAGGTAATTCAATTGATTTTGCCAAGATTTAGTGTTCACTGTTCACAGTAGGTAGGTGTTCACTATAGGATTATACTTTAACACGGGAGTCAATTGGAGAAAAAGGTTTTGCTTAAAAACGTTCACTGTTGATAGGTGTTCACTAGAAGAGAGATGTGTTCACTAACTCAGGTTTTACTGTACTTGTAAGTCAAATCGACCCCCTCTAGTACGCTAAAGATAAGTTGAAAGATTTATCTACTCGTTCTTATGCGCCAACAAACAATAGATAACCACCTAATATCGTGAACAAAAATATTTGCGTTGTTTATCGAGGATGTGTTTATCAAAATTGGGATTTTTGATACTGTTCTAGAATTTACTATAGGCTACCAGGCCTACCATTTCTAATAGTTTGTTTTATCTCGTTAAAGAGCTCCAGCTACATAGTGAACTAATTAGTTAAAGAGGTTACAGTCCGCTGGTGGATCAAGTGGGGTCAATGCCCCCCCCTTGGGTGGGTCATGAATGACATAATATAAATGAACGAATGTAAAGGGTAGCTAACGTTGCGGCTGATCGGAAAAGTGAACAAAACCTAGTACATGCATGAGTCTTCATCCTGGACCAAACGTACGTGCGTTGCAATGGTAGCCTATAGTAAAACCTGTGTAAAGTGAACATTTTTTGCCGAGAAAAAATGTTCACTGTTGTAGGTGTTCACCAGAGCAAGCATTTGATTTCGCGGCATTCTGCCGTATTATACAAAGAGACCAGTTATTAAACTAGGCTAAAGAGGGGAGGGTTTAATCAATTTAATTTGTATTTTCTACCATTGATAACCTATTACACTCTAGCGATAAGTTTTGGGTTTGATGTAATGTTATATAAACTGACTTATCTTTGACTGACTGGCATCCGATTCTGAATGGTTCCAGGGTTCATCCTTTTATAGTTAACCAGATTATCTCAATAACAATCGATACTAGACGAATATCCTGTCTTATAAAAACAAAGCTTATTAAGAATTATAATTAGGCACACCTGTTTCAACAGAAAAGGAAATCAACATCTGAAATTGATCTTTTGATTATTTTTTGGCAGGTAATATAAAAATAAACTGCTTACCTCTGATAAGGCAGTTGCAGAAAATCAGCGAGAAATCTTATATCTGATTTATTGTTCACTAGAGACAAGATAATTCAATTGATTTTGCCAAGATCTAGTGTTCACTGTTCACAGTAGGTAGGTGTTCACAGTAGGATTATAGTTTAACATGGGAGTCAATGGGAGAAATATGTTTTGCCTAAAAAAAATTCACTGTTGATAGGTGTTCACTAGAAGAGAGATGTGTTCACTAACTCAGGTTTTACTGTACTTGTAAGTCAAATCGACCCCCTCTAGTACGCTAAAGATAAGTTGAAAGATTTATCTACTCGTTCTTATGCGTCAACAAACAATAGATAACCACCTTTGTAAAAATATCGTGAACAAAAATATTTGCGTTGTTTATCGAGGATGTGTTAATCAAAAATTGGGATTTTTGATACTGTTCTAGAATTTACTATAGGCTACCAGGCCTACCATTTCTAATAGTTTGTTTTATCCCGTTAAAGAGCTCCAGCTACATAGTGAACTAATTAGTTAAAGAGGTTACAGTTGGTGGATCCAGTGGGGTCCATGCCCCCCCCCCCCCTTGGGAGGGTCATGAATGACATAATATAAATAGGTTTTGTTATGTCGTATGGTGACGTACTTTATTACATCCATATATAAAAGTACATTTTCCAACTGGTAACAGCATCAACTCGATGACATCGAAATTCCACATGGGTCTGTGTCTTATAGTGCTTCTCTAGCGCGCGCGTCTCATCAAAGACCGCATCATCGGCGACGCTCTTCGTCTCCTTCCCCATTCCTTTGTATCCTCAACTGAAAACAAATTCAAGAGATCAAGATCAAGAGCAAGGAGACACATCTGTAGGGATTTGAGCATTTTTTTCTCTGTCTCAATATTGATGATGATATTGATGGATAGATTGTTGTTCAAAATATTATACAAACACATCCTTGACCAAGAGTAATTCATTGCATTACATTAGCTGAGCTACTACATGAGCTGCTATGAAAGCAGTGAAGGACCGATCTTGAAGGATGTACAAACAAAGTCCCATGATGACAGGTAAATTTATAATTCGGTCAACAAACTATACAAAAAACAATAAAGTTAAAATAATCTAAAAATAAAAATGTGCTATTTTGACATACTCTTCACGTTTTACATGAATCACATAATGATGTTAACATTCGAATGATCGTAAATAATTCTTAATATGAATTCCACATGAACAAAAAATGGTGGCCGACAATACAGAGTTTAAGCTAGCCATATTTTTCACAACGTAACCCTGAACGCTAATACAGTAATGTATATGGCGCGCATACAAAACAAGCGCTAAATAAAAAAATAATTTAAAAAATCTTACCTCGGCATACGAATGTTTCAGGATTGGCATCTGTTAACTTGCTTCTCGTGTCCCTCACATCGGACGAGGTATCATCTCTTACGTTTGCTCCAGGGTATTCTGCTCCATGGTATTCTTGTGATTTGGCACATGCCTTAGAAATGTAAAATCAGACTGAGTTTATATAATCCATACTCATGCCTCAGTGACATTTGATATACTGTAACCGCATGGGGCCGGGACCGTAGCTTCCTGATGCAAAATCGAGAGTTTGAAATATGTAGCATTAAAATAGGGATAAGCAGTACGATGTAGATTTGTCATATCGATTTTGTATTTATATGGCCACCATACGCCCGTCGTAGGGCAAATAATACTGAGGCAAAGTCAGCACTATCAATGGTATACTCTACCTTTATAGATAAAATACTTTTTCTCTACTTATTAGAGATCTATTCACTATACCATTGATAGTGCTGACTGTGTACTAAGGCTTTAGTATACAATGAATAATTGTCAGTTATGTTCTGCCACATGATCTTTGCTAGGGAAGAGTGTTAAGTTATGAGAATTGTACACACTGTGAACTGCGAAAATAACTCGATTTCAATGTAATTGAACACTAACCACCGCCATCGCCTAGTCCATACCATGGAGTTTGTCTTATAAGGCAATGAAGCAAAGAGCACAAAAATCGAACTCTCATTTGACTAACTTGTCCGTCTATCTGTCCACGCGTCTGTCAATAATAGTGGCAAGTTTCAAAATCTATGTTGATAGGACTCCCGTTTTAATGACTTTTGTTCGTCATCAATAAAGGAAACCTCCAAGTACACCTTGTAACTCCTGGTTGAAAAGATTGCCTAATTTCGAAATGACCGCCATTTTGTCACAGAAAATTCACTCTTTAGCTACAACACGTCAACCCAGTACCCGTGGCATTATTTATATAAATAAGATAAAGATAGTAATCATGAATATGTAATCTATCTAAGATGAAGAATAACCTTTACTAACTATTCTCAATCAATGTTTGAAAACTTAAAATACTTGTACCCATTTTCAAACATTGCCAGTATCAGGGTATGTCTAATCTAATTTATAGTCTTCTCATTGTATAGTTTGAGTTTTAGATTGATATAAAAATACGTTATCCTACATGTTATGTCCATGAAATAGGCCTTCTTTTTTCCCAGTGGCCATTAATGCTATAGTTCTTAGTTATATAGACAAACTTAATTTGACTTACCAAAAGCACGGCTAATATCGTGACTACGGCGAAGAGGTATCGTGGACTGGCCATTGTTTCAGTAGCAACTCTCACAAGACAATGGTTATCAAAATCATCAAATACAATTTTATACCCATCCTGCCGGACGTATACATTTATCAATATCTAATAATACAATTCTATAAACTTAAAAAAACAAGGCACAGGGTGAACAATGTCGTACCTAAAAACATAGCAGTGTCGGCTTGATGACTCAGAAAGCAAGATGGCCACCGAACAGTTAATCACTTCTAGAACTTCTTAGCATGTAACGCATGTGTTAAGAAGACCACGTGCAGCATGGCAAGTGATTTTAGACGGTCATATCTTTCACCATGACTACTTTCTGGGCATTAATACAGTGGTTTTTATTAAAACAATATGTTTCTTTTCAAGTGAAGTACCCATGATGATAAAAATACAAATTAAACAATTCGAAAAATTATGAATAGGGACCCCATGTCAACATTTCAAAATATTGAACCTATTTACTCAAAAGAGGATCTTCTTTTTCTGATTTTTATTGTATGAAAACATTATTCAACAAGGGGTCTAAGACATGTTCAAAAATAGAATGGTATTGAAAGTCTAGTTTTGAAGATATCAATTTTCGATGACCCTAATTATGCTGAAAACAATGGATAGCACGAGTTTTCCCATAAGAAAATAACATGGGATATGTGGTCTTTAACTTTAACTCATTTCAATATCCATCCCCTTTTCAGAAATTGTTAATATAGTGTAGGGGAGACTTTCGATATGTTTAAATTGAGAAAGACAAGATCCTCTTTTCTAGAAAATCATAAGCCTAACATTTTTCAAAAAGGTGCCAAGGTGGGGTCCTAATCCATAATTTTTCAGAGAGTTGGATTGATATTTTACTATCATGGGGACTTCACTTGAAAGAAAACATATTGTTTTAATAAAAATAAAATAAAAGCCACTGTATTTATGGCCAGAAAGTACTCATGGTGAAAGACATGACTGTCTAAAATCACTTGCCATACAGATACTGCACGTGGTCTTTTGAAGTAAATAAGTCAAGTGCTTTTCCTGGAATCGCGATGACAAAATTGATCTAAAACGTCCAAGAAGGCCGCCAGGATGCAAGATGGCCGCCGAAAAGTTAATCAGCTCGTTAACATGTGTGAAAATTTGAAATAAATCCGTCGAGTGCTTTTCCTGGAATCATGATGACAAGATTTATTCAAGAACTTCCAAAATGGCTGCCAGAATCCAAGATGGCTGCCGAAAGTTCATAAGCTCTAGAACTTTTTACCATGTAACATGTGTGAACATTTGAAATAAATCCGTCAAGTGCTTTTCCTGGAATCGCGGTGACAATATTTATCTAAAAACTTCCGAAATGGCCACCAGAATACAAGATGGCTTCCGAAAAGTCAATAAGCTCGAGAACTTCTTACCATGTAACATGTGTGAAAATTTGAAGTAAATCCGTCCATTGGTCTTCTTGAAATCGCAATGACAAGATAGTGAGACGTCGCCCGCCCGCCCGCCCGCCCGCCCGCCCGCCCGCCCGCCGCCCGCCCGCCCGCCGCCCAGCCGTCAAGCTGACGACAATATTGTACCTTTTTAGGTACGATAAAAATTGAAACATTAAAGATCACTGTTCCACTGCGTTATTTATTGACCTACTCGTATATCCGACATTAATGACTTGCCATCTTTCACTGTTCCACAGCTGGATGACTTTAACTGCATTCAAGATGGTTACCGAAATTCTTTCGTTTTCGACAAACGTCCGATTTTAGCTAAACTAAGCTGAATCTGGATTCCAAAAGTTTCGCCATTCAAACTAATAAAGCTACGATTGTAAACAACCACCCATAACTGCTCTAACAACCGCGATATGGGTGAATTTTAAAGAAAATAGCTTCACTTAAAATGACTCTAACTGAAGTTGTCATCATCAACTTCAGCTAAGTGATGCCCTTTTCATTCAAATGCTCTAATATTGCTGGTGTTTGGGCATTTATTTGTGTTTTATTTTGCACGGCGAAACTTTCGGAATCAAGATTCAGCCTAATTTAGCTAAAATCGGAGGTTTGTCGAAAACAAAAGAATTTCGGTAACCATCTTGAATGACGCTAACTCCAGTTATAGTCATCCAGCTGTGGAACAGAGAAAGATCAAGTCATTAATGTCGGATATAAGTCAATAAATAACGCCGCATATTAAAAAACGAATGGGGGGGGTATCAAATCAAGTGTGACATCACATAGAGAGAGGTCCACAGTAAACTGTTCCCGTTTGAACAGATAGGTTAAGGGACATATCATGGTGTACTTAGCAATTATGAATATAATATACGTTTTTAATAATAACTTTTGTTACTGGCTTGGACTGTTAATAATTACAATTTTATATTACAATTTTTTTTTTACAATTTTGTCCCAATAAGAGCGACTTGATGTACTGTACATATTATTTGATTGTATCGATATGAAACAAATATTAAAGTGACATGTTGTGTTTATACGTTTAATCATGGTCAGAGTGATAAATCACATACTATATCTAGTATTTGGGATATAATATAGGGATGAAATCATAGATGATATTGGGATTATAGGGATGTCGGGGATGATATGGACATCAACCCGGGTACATGTTCAAAGGAGTGGTATCGATATGGAGAACTTTTTGAACACACGTTTCTCTTAAACCAGTCATAAATTAAATCTAAAAATTAAACATATCGTCAATTTTGGTCATCTTTTTAATGGTAACAATATAATTTTTAAAAAAACTTTCATCTATAAATTGTTTTTAGAAAACACATCAAATACTTTTCTTCTTGGTATATGTTTCCAGAGTGAAATGAAACATCTTTCCGAACCTCATTGGAACAAAACGACATAAACACAACATGTTTAGGTCTCTCAATACTGTAATTGTACAAAGGAAATTTTGGTTGATTTTAAAAAAGTATCTTGTTTATCTATTTTTTTTTGGGGGGGGGGGGTTGTTTTAATTTTTTGAACACTTTTTTAAAATCAACCAAAAGTTCAAAACCAAACCAAAAATCAAATTGACAACAGTCCCTCTTAAGTATTCTTCAGTTACATTTGCTCTACGGAGGGCTGATTTATCAAATAAAATGGCCGCGATGGAACAGAAAACTAAGGTTGGTGCATTATTTTCTTCTACTGTGTATCAATGAAAGGATGGACGATTTTTGTAGGCATTGCATTCGGTGATGCATTTAGTAATGTATATTTTGAACGTATTCTTTGCAAATTGATGCCCGGGGATAACATGAAATAAGCGAAAAACTGTTGAGTTTGAAATTCAAAACTACACAAACTTTAGTAATTTGTTTATTTTTGTCGTTAGGGCATGGTCTACATTGCCTAACGACCTCTGGGTATACAGATGTAACCTACATACGATCATAAAAAGCCAATTGAGCATTGGAAACCACTTAATATGTTCTACTTAAGCCATAATATTGTATTTTTAATTTGCGGTTACGCAAAAAGTTGATTGACGGTTACGCGAACCTCGTTCAAATATGTATCTCAGATTCATTGTTATTAATTTTCTCATATTCATCAGTACTTGATACTAATTCTTCTTTTGCCTCTTCATTGCTATCTTTTTGACTTAAATTGGTTTCATAAATAAAGCAAGACACAATTTTTCCTTGCCCTATAGAGGCTCAAACAAGAGCGTCTCTTGCAAGTACTGAAAACAAATATAAGCAATTCAATATTCCATTTCTTACCCATTATAACAATAACATGGAAAGAGGCTATCAGAACTAGCAACCTTGACTTGAAAGATGTACATGCACGTAACCGTCCGCTAAATATCTAATGTACATCTAATACAATACGTTACCGTTCATAGAATTCATACGTAGTCGTCTAACGACATTGCGTTTGAAGCCTTATTATTTACAATATGACCACGTTCCTGTTCTGGATTTGTCATTTTATGGCTTGTTTATACACAGTTTACTTACTGTTAATAGTTTGAGTGGCTCTGAGGCACATACTGAGAAATCACGAGAATGGACTAAAAAATATGAACTTGGACATCTCAGTCGGTAAGTTTATATTACAGCTTCGAACATGACTGTATTCACGCCTTCTATAAACTGTAAACAAAGTCAATGCTTCAGCTGAGTTATATTCGAGATCAATAACCCAGTTAATACGTGTAATGTGTGACGTCATAACGGTGGGTCGTAGTAATGGCGGACCATGATGAATATTCGAAACAATTTGGTGAGTTTTCATGTTCGAATCGTAATATAGACCTCAGAGCAGGGTTACTAGTTTCGAATAACACCCAGCTGGTCTCGGCACAAAAGCTTTCGAACCCCTCACTCCCTTCGGTCGTTTGGGGTACAGAAAACGTTTGTGCTGAGACCATCGGGGTGTTATTCGAAACTAGTAACCCTGCTCTTTGGTCTATATTTCTTAATTAATTCGAAAATTCAATGATAAATATCAAATGAGGATACATAACGTGACGTTCTTATTTCCTGCCATAGATTAGGTGGGGGGGGGGGGCGGGATCTCCCAAAGTTCAGTGTTGGTATTCGGTCACGCCTACTGGGTAACACCAAGTAATATCAAAGAATTACGGGAGTTACTCACTTCTATCATAGATGTTACACAAGACACTTGTCAGGTGACTTATTACAATGCACAAACAATACATGTAAATATGAATAGGTTTTGCTATGTCGTCTGGTAACGTACTTTATTACATTCATAATTAACATTACAGTTTCCAACTGGTAACAACATCAACTCGTTGACATCAAAATTCCAAATGGGGCTGTGTCTTCTAGTGCTTCTCTAGCGCGCGCGTCTCATCATAGACCGCATCATCGGCGACGCTCTTCGTCTCCTTCCCCCCCTTGGATCCCCAACTGAAAGCAAAAAAGATCAAGAGCAAGGAGACACTTCTGCAGGGATTTGAGCATTCATTTCTCTGTCTCAATATTGATGATGATATTGATGGATAGATTGTTGTTCAAAATATTATACAAACACATCCTTGACCAAGAGTAATTCATTGCATTACATTAGCTGAGCTACTACATGAGCTGCTATGAAAGCGG